TTCAAGTAACCGGCTGCATTACAAGTAAGTTTGGAAGTGATTAGAGGAATGGGTGATTACAAGCAGGGGAATGCACAAATTTGTCTAGGGAAGTCTTGGGTCATGAAGCTACAACCTTTGCATTAGTCTTTCTTTTTTCCTTTAATACGTCAATTAAATTCACATATTTTCAGCTCCCTTTAAATATATAATGCGTGCCTGTTAATATCTTGCACCTTGAGGCTAATATTATGCAAAAAACGTTAATGCAGTTGGTATTTCAATTTTACTGGACCAGTTATGCTGTCCACGATGGAAAATGGGAAAATTGTCAGAGGTCTAGCGGGGGTCCCACGTGAAGGCCCTGTATTGTTGGTCGGTTATCACATGCTTATGGGTTTAGAAATTGTCCCTCTTGTTCATGAATATTTGATGCAGACGAAAATTTTACTTCGTGGAATAGCACATCCAGCGTTGTTTACTCAGCTGGTCGAGAGTCGACCTAATGCAACCTCATTCATTGATATGCTGAAACTATATGGAGCTGCACCTGTCACTGCCAGCAACTTTTTTAAGTTGCTTGCAACAAAGTCACATGTTCTGTTGTATCCTGGTGGTGCCCGTGAGGCCTTACATCGTAAGGTGTGTCATAATCTTCTCCTTGGTTAATTCCATCTTCTATATTTCTCAAATTGGAATCTTCGTACTATTCCTATTCATGCCTTCACCTAGAAGTCTAATAAAATTGCTATCCGCTTTAAAATCATTGTCAATTCCAGTTCCTTACCTTTTTGCTAGGATGTGAATTACTGGTACTTAATACTGGAGTTTTCTGCTTGTGTAGATGCATTTTCTTATGCTATAGAGGAATTTAACGAATAGTTGGACAACTAAAGTTCATTTTTCTTGTGAATTTGATGACGACATCTTGCAATGCAAAGATAACAAAGCAATGCCATTTAGCTGTTAAATGAAAAAGTTTATGGTGTCCATGATCCATCCACCTCCTCTAAAGCTTTCATGTGATCCATACTATCCATGTCGTTATCAGCATATCAGATGTAAATGGTTTTTAGATGCCTTAGAGAATCCATGCCCTTCTTGAGTCTTGTAGACCCAAAGGTTTTCTCCAATTTATTGGATTGAGATGTTAATGTTAAATTTTATTTTTTCTTTCTTTTCGTAAAGGAGTTTTTATTAAGGAAAAATAGTGAATTTACTATTGAAGGCAAAGTAATTGTAGAGATTGTCACCCTAATTCAATGGAAGTGTTGAATTTCGAGAACGTCCTCATTTAGAAGTTAAAAATTATTAGAGAGGAGACACATATATTTATTTAATTATGTCTTTAGCATGTCGGCATGCTGGTCATACTCTTTTTCATGGACCAAGCACATGAAACTTTTTTGATGAGGCGTGTCATTGAAGCTCGAATTTCCAAGACTTCTGTTGGCCTACCATGTAGAAAATAAGAAAAGAGAAAGATGTATTGATTAACTAGCGATATGTTGAATGCATAACACACTTCAAGTGTCAACCACAATTCACATATTATTTGTTCAATGTGGAGAAAATATCGTACTTAAGAATTTAATCCTGAAATATAACTGTATACTGTTATTTTAACTGTCATTACTTCACTTTTAACATAACAACAAGCACCTTATATTCTTGAATTTCAACAGAGCTGATCAGGTATTCCCAATAACAAAGTGATAATATCACCTTTTTCTGGACATGTTTGCTTCTAATTTTCTTTTCTTATTAGCTTTCACAAAGCTATCTTGAAGAGAAAAACTGGTGACTGGTGTCTGGCTGTCTTCCGATGTACCTCATTAGAATGAAAGAAATAGCAATAACCTCATTTTCAAGTTAGGATTTTTTCCTTTATTTATGTTATTTCCCTATGTTGATGGTTTTCTATTTGTTGTAGGGAGAAGAGTACAAGGTGATTTGGCCTGACCAGCAAGAATTCATCAGAATGGCTGCAAAATTTGGTGCGACAATTGTGCCATTTGGGGTTGTAGGGGAAGATGATATAGCACAGGTTTGTTAATGCTGTCCTACATATGTTTTCCTATGCAACATTAGAAGAAATAATGATGGTCTTTTGGTTCCTTGATACTACTTCCCCAAAAAGCTTTGATCTTGTATCTGTTAGCTTGTTTCCTTTCATATTTGGAAGCTACAAAGGGTTTTCTCGTCTCTCGGGTATTTTGCATGTTCGGAGGAATTAATTTTGTAGGAGAAATTTAACTCATAGAAAATTTAAAAAGAGGAACAAACAGAAGCTCTTCACTTATCTCCTTTGACCTGTATATATTAACCGGTTCAACTAAAAATTATTATTCTGAGGAGATGCCTCTTCCCTTCTCTCACCATTTCATGCCAAATGGGGATTCTTGTACTTCTATCTCCCCTTTGTGCAACGAGCCAATGACAATCTCTATCTCAACCATCGGAAATCAGAACTAGTTACTCCCTCCGTTTCAATTTGTTTGTTTGGTTTGACTTGGTACATAGTTTAAGAAAGTAAAGAGAACTTTTGAATCTTGGGGTTTTAAACTAAAGATATGTATAATGTACTAAAATGTCCTTTAATCTTGTGGTCTTTAACATTTCATGTGGAAGTTAGAATTAAAGAGTTTCCGGAAAAGGCATTCTTTTTGAAATGGACTAAAATGGAAAGTAAGACAAACAAATTGAAATGGGAGGAGTATCTTTTACTTTTTGCATTTTGCTCCTGTTATAACTGGTTGATATTTTCATCTGATAAGATGAACAAGCACTCTTTAAGCATTCTTTTCTTTTCATGAGAAAGGTAAAGACTCTTTTAGCATTCTTTTCAGTGAAACTTGTATCTGTTCAACACCGATTTCCCTTTATTTCTTCTTCTCCTTTTTGTGAGGGTGCAAAGATGACAGTCCAATCTAGCCAGTGAGTCAGCACGTGTTCGTTTAATTCAATATATTTCTTAACTAGGTTCAACGAGTGAAAGTCTTTTAAATACATAATGTTCAAAGAGAATCGAGAATTAATAGTATTAGATATCCTTCTTGGGAGGTGGATATTCTAATTCGAAGAGGTTAATCCAATGGTTTAGGGGCCAGCTTTGAGCTTAAGGTCCTAAGGTCAATTTCCCCTTAGCCCTTTCTTGCCAAGCTTAGCATTCCCCCTAAGAAAGTTGTAGTTCTCTTCATATAGTCCAAAATAAGAAATGTGGACATTCAAATGGCAACAAACTGAATGTGTTCTATATACAGAACTGTTGCTTTATGCATGCCTTATAAGCTACAGTGCTCTTCATTTTTCAAATTACGAGGCTAGCCTCATAGTGAAAATAGATTAGGATTTAGGAGAGAGGGGAGCCAGACAGGTATTTCATACGTGGACTTGGAACTAGTTTTGTGCTATATCTCAACATTTTATTGCCTTATCTTATATGTTCTGATTGCAGTTAGTTCTCGACTATGATGACCTAAAAAGTATTCCTATATTGGGTGATCGGATAAGGAGTGAGAACGAAGAGGCAGCCAGGAGGGGCTTCACAGTCAGGTCATCTTCTAATATATTGATTTTGTCTCATGTCCTGATATTTGCTCCAAGCTCACACTTGCTTCTTTCTTTCTGAACCATTTATTGTTATATCCTTTAACCATTCCGTTAAATGTTTCCTCAGGGGGGGCATGGACGGGGAGATTGCCAACCAAATGTTGTATATCCCGGGCCTTTTACCTAAGATACCTGGTCGTTTTTACTTCTTTTTTGGGAAACCAATTCATACAAAGGGAAGGCAAGACCTGGTGAAAGATAGAGAAAAAGCAAGAGAATTATACTTGCAGGTAAAATCTGAAGTTCAAAACAACATGAATTATTTGCTTAAAAAAAGAGAGGAGGATCCTTACCGAAACGTCATCGATCGAACCTTGTATAGAGCATTTTCTGCCACTTCTGATGATGTCCCAACATTTGATTTTTAGATGACCAGTTAGAAGTTCTATTATTATTTTTTTGGGTAAATGCTCTTATACATGGTTCAATTCTATGTTGTAAATTTTTTTAAAAAAATATTGCCACTATGTATGTTCCAATATGAGCAAGCTTTCCACCAATAACTAAGGTAAATATCAAATCTTTATCATAACTTGCATCAATGTCAGTAATAGTTGATCAAGCAAAACATTTTTTTAGTATATGAAAGCACATGCCTTGTGCCCTAGGCTCCAGTCTAAAAGCTCAACTGCAATTACTTTTCTCAGTTGACATGTGCATCAAATGCAGCTGATCCACTACAAATAAAATTATAATAAATTGACCAGTTTCAACGAAGGGACATGAATCTTGTCGTGTTAGATGTACATAAAGTGATGAAATCTCTTTGAGATTGTTAAAGTCAAATTTCAATAGTAGCAAGAGGATATATACCATCCATAAAAAGCATAATATTCGGATTCCGAACTTAGTTGTTGGTTATCACAAGTTGTATGGAGCTGAAACCTGAAGAATTTGAGGGACAGGAAAAAATTATAGTTCATTGTCTAGCTCATCCAAATACGTCTGCACCAGATTCTCCAATTTAAATTTATACAATGTAGGTTTGACTAGACACGGAGTTGAAAGAAAGAAAGATTTATTGAAGTTCACTTCAAGTAAAAGTAAGAGATTCTATTCCAATTGTAAGTATCCTTATCTAGTAGCTGGTTCTTATTCTTGGAGAAAATTGCAATATTTATGCTTTACTTGAAGAGTGAAATATTCACATTCATCTCTTATACCCTAAACTATTCTCACAAAAATCTTTTGTTCCCCTTGTCCTGATTGGCCCTATTAAGCCCCCTCATGAAGATACACCAGTGGGAAATGAACACCTCATAGCCAGGATAAGTGTATAGAGAATGTGGTTCTTTCACATTATGCACCAAGCTAAGAGAATCCAAAGATAAAAACAGTAGAAACAGAATAAAGAAAAAAAAAATGGACACACATGCAATAAGACTCGAGTTTTCTATATATATATGTTGAGACTTAACTTGCTTTGAAGCAAGCAAGGAAAAAAAAAAAAAGAACCAGCTATATTCTAAATAATAGTTATGGCTAGTTTTAGCAAGGGTGGAAGTTTTAACACCTATAGTGACTACCCTGATCATGTTTGTCGCCCTGTGATCGTTGAACATAGTGTCGGGGGCTACATGGTGAGAGCTCAAAGAGTTGTTGAAGTTCGTCGTAGTTATGATATACCCTTGAATGGTCTTGTAGATGAGTACAATATGCATGAAGAATGGGACGATGATAGTCCTAGGAAGGTCAATGACTTCTTCCATAAAGTTCATGATGAAGCTAGTCGACCAACTCATTCCACTCTTTTGAGCCCTCCAAAGTTGATCACTAAGAGGCCTAGTTGGAGAAGTGAAGATCATGACTCTCCCAAGTATAGAGAGCATCGCGATTTTAGTGGCAGCCCTCTTCGTAATAAATTTGAAGGGTTTCACCTTCAAGATAATCGAGGATCAAGTCCGTTTAAGTACAAGAATGATGGTTATGCCCACTCCATGGATTCTCCCAAGGCTGGCCATGTCAAGGACTATGGGGTCAACAACACATGGGATTCACCACCAAGATCAAGGTTAACTCATGAGGATTGGGATAGCAGGAGAGATCATGATGATTATGGCAAGCCAAAATTCAATGGAGGTTACAAGACAACTAGTCCTCCACTTAGCCAGGCCACAAATGATATAGGCACTGCCATGAAGATCCTTGGGGTAGGTAATAAACCTTTGACTTCTCCTACTTATGCACCAAAATCACATTTTCCAGCATCTTACTCAACTCCACATATAAAAGAAAGTTACCCTGAACCAACAAAAGGAATGATGCCTCCTCTGCTTTACCCTGTGCCTCAGAGGAAAGAAAGCTATCCTGAGGCACCACATGGCACAAAGCCTCTATTTTCTCCTATTCATACACAGCAACCATATTCACCAACTTCAATCCCGATACCTCAAAGGAAAGAAAACTACCCTGAAACAAATCCTGGACCAAAGCCTTTATTTTCCCCTGGTTATACACAACAATCACATTCACCAACTTCAAACCCGACACCTCAGAGGCCTGAGGCAGCACATGGCACAAAGCCGCTGTTTTCCTCTGTTCATACACAACAACCATACTCACCAACTTCAAACTCGATACCTCAAAGGAAAGAAAACTACCCTGAAACAACTCATGGACCAAGGCCTCTGTTTTCCCCTGGTTATACACAACAATCACATTCACCAACACCTCAGAGGAAAGAAAGCCATCCTGAGGCAGCACACGGCACAAAGCCTCTGTTTACCCCTATTCATACACAGAAACCATATTCACCAACTTCAAACCCGATACCTCAAAGGAAAGAGAACTACCCTGAAACAACTCATGGACCAAGGCCTCTGTTTACCCCTATTCATACACAGAAACCATATTCACCAACTTCAAACCCGATACCTCAAAGGAAAGAAAGCTACTCTGAAACAGCACACGGCACAAAGCCTCTGTTTACCCCTGTTCATACACAGCAACCATATTCACCAACTTCAAACCCGATACCTCAAAGGAAAGAAAGCTACCCTGAAACAGCACACGGTGCAAAGCCTTTGTTTTCCTCTGGTTATACACCACAATCACATCCACCAACTTCAAACCCAACACCTCAAAGGAAAGAAAGCTACCCAGAAACAACACACGATACAAACCCTATGTTTTCCCCTGTTTCTACACAACAATCAACTGCAAATCCGACCTCTCAAAACAACGAAAGTCAGCCAAAGAAGAAAAAAGGTTGGACATCTCTGTTTTCCTCTAATGCTAAGCAACAACCACACCCTCCAACATCACACTCAACACCTGATATGAAACAAAGCTACCCTGATCATGAAACTCAAGGTTTCCACCCTTCATTTTCCCCTTCTTCTCCACAAAAGGAACGCTACAGTCCACAAATGAAAGACCATTACCCCGACCAAATCCAGCGCAATGAGTCCTTTCCATCTCCATATGAAAATACACAGGAACCGCGCTATGGTGCAATCGCCCCACCAGAAGAAACCCTTGATAGCAGTGAGGCCAGGAGAAAGTATGCTAACTTAAAACCAGTGTCACAAGCTCAGATGAAGTACTCAGGAACAATTGATAGCAAGGAAGCTGTGAAGAAGTACAATGGAGCATTTGTTCCATAGAGAGAAGTGCCAAGATGTTCAGAAATTTCACATTTAGCTTGCCTTATGAAGGATGGTTTCTGCTGCAATGATAATCAAACATATCATATCTATCTTTTCTTTCTTCTTTGTGAGTGTGGTGTTGTTTTCTTGAGTGTTTTGTGTTTGAATAAAAGCACTGAAATATGTTGTTTCTAATGTAATAATACAGTTTGCTTATGTACTTGTGATTGCATATGAATGAGAAAAGAGTTATGTTTATCATGTCAATTTCTTCATGGTTTAGACTTTAGGATATTGAGTTATTTCTTTTTTCACTTAGCTTTGTGAACTAGATAACGTTGGATAATTTTCTCAATCAACTATAATCAAGCCATCATCCCCGCTAGCAACCATTTACAACATCACCACCAATTACCATTACCGCAACAATCATCAATCACTATTAAAAATCATCATCACCAGTCCTCACTATATATCGCTAATCATTGTCATCATTCACCTTACTATTATTTATCACTATCATTGTTAACCATTATGGTCAACCACCATTATCACTAGCTATTACTGTCAACCACCATTACCACTAACTACTGCCCACAACCACCATTAACCAACACCACGACTACTAACTATTATCATCATCAATAATCATGTAACTTTTTAAAGATATTTTTGTTGATATAATATGAATTTAATTCATTTGTTTATTTATTAATTTTTAATTAAAAACAAATTTTATACACTTAGAATTTAGTAATTATTTACTATTGAGATCTTAATAGCATCTGAATTTGGATATTTATTTTTTATTTATCATCCCGTATTTATATTAGAGCCCGTTCCAATTCGCACTGCTTAGAACCCAGGAAGCACTCCTGCTATGGATTTTCTACTTGGAGAAGGATTAATTTCCTTTTAATTTATGCAAGTTCTCATACTTAGTTTCAGTTAAATGAGGAAATTGTCCTTTTCTTTGAAATCTGAAATCTCCATTTGTGCAATTAATAGGATTATAATTTCTTTCTAGATGGTCAATTTTGAGGAATAGCAACTTCACTATTTAAAGAAAGAAAGCTACAAGCTACGAGCTACTTCTTCAGGGTCGAAGAATACGTATAAGACATCTTAAGACTGAAATTTCTTTAATGTTGGACATTTAAAAGCCTAATTTTTTACTTTTATTATTTTAAAATAACGAGTGTTTTTTACCTTTTGATTTTGTTTCAAAATAAGTGATATTTTATGTCATCAGGAAAATATTGATATATTCTTCAAATATTACCCTTCATTAATAAAAAAAGTTTCACATAACTAGAAACTATTAAAGAGATATTACATCTTTTCTTCAAAATATTTATTAAAAATAAATTAATAAAAATATATACCTAAATTAAAAACATCACTTATTTTAAAATTAAAAGAAGTAATAGTACAAGAATTTACTGATTCTTTCTGTAGCACAATCAATCTGCGGCCATCACGACTCATGTTTGTGTCATTGTCTTTACTAAAACCTTGCACTAAAACAAAAATATCTTTTAGCGGCAATAAATATACACATTATCATAGAGTGTTAAAGCTTTTATTGGCGGATCTAATATCGCTAAAGGCTTTAAGAATATATACAAAGAGTGATAATTGTTACTAAAAGTACATATTTAATGACAATTAAGTTTTTATCATTAATTAATTGTCGCTAAAGATATTTTTTATGTGGTGCAATGGGAGAAAAATCTAAGGAGTGCTACATTTAAGTTGATGTCGTTGACACTATTAATTACGCAGGCTACGTGGCTTTACGATGTTCACTAGTGAATTTGTGGAATCTTCTATGCAGGAAAAAATGTTTATTTTTTAAAGACTATATAAAGCTATAAAAATCTCAATATAAACATCATTAATATTCATCCCTCCAATACTATAGTTTGTTTCTAGCTAACTTGTCCAATTTAACTGCCATGTCTGATCAAATTGCCATGTCCATTGATCCAAATGTCGATCCTTATGGAAGTTTGGGCATTACTCGTAACACTGACGGCTCTATCACACGTCCACAAATTCCTCGTCCATTTTTCATCACTATTTCTGATAATGATTCCTCCGTCTTTATGAAAGATCTTATTATTAATCCTGCTAAAGATATGTGGGCTCGTATTGTCATCCCTCGTGAAGTACTAAACTCGGAAATTAAACTCCCTCTTGTAGTATATTTTCATGGTGGAGGATTCGTAATGGCAGCTACGGTAGACACACCAATCTTACAAAAGTTTTACGCAACACTCGCGATTGAAATTCCAGCGATAATTGTATCGATCGATTATCGATACGCTCCCGAAAATCGACTTCCAGCAGCGTACGATGATTGTGTGGAATCGTTGTATTGGATCAAAAATACCCCTAACGAGCTGTTGAAAAAACACGCTGATTTGTCCAAATGCTTTCTATTGGGCACTAGTGCTGGTGGCAACATAGCCTATCACGTAGGACTACGTGTCGCTGAAGTTAGTGAATGCCTTAAGCCTTTAGAAATCAAAGGGTTGATTTTACATCATGCTTTTTTTGGTGGGAATGAAAGGACAAAATCGGAATTAAGATTAGTTCGCGATAAGATATTGCCCCTTAATGTGTGCGACATTATGTGGGAGCTTGGGTTGCCTATAGGCAGCGATCGCGATCATCTGTATTGTAATCCAATGGTAGAGATTCGATCAAATGAAAACTTATTTGATCAAATGAAAATACAAGGTTGTAAGATTCTGGTGATTGACTGCGATGGTGATCCTTTGATTGATCGACAAATTGAGGTTTCGAAGATGTTGAAAGAAAAAGGGGTGCAAGTTGTGGATTGTTTTAGTGAAGGAGGGTTTCATGGCTGTGAGTTTTTTGATGACATGAAGTTAAAGGACATGGCACTTGTTGTGAAGGAGTTTGTAAGAGCTTAATTGAAGCACTAGTGGCAAGTGATCTTTGAATGAAATATATTGGTAATGATTATGAGTACAATAAGAGCTTTAATTGGAGAAAAAGAAAAGAATTATTAAGATTTTGAGTTTTAGAGCTCCGAATAAGTTGTTAAGTATTGTTGATCTTTTAATAAAAGTAATAAATAGTGATTAATTAGCATTAAAAAAGTCAAGTTAAGAGCACAAACATAATATTTTAATATTGTGAATTTGTGATTGTTTAGATTAACTCTTTTTTATATCAAAGAGAGATTATAAAATTATTTAAAATATAAATAAGAAATATAACAATTAAAATACATTATTTCATAAAGAGAATGTAAATAAAAAATATGATAAAAGTAGGCCAAAAAGATGAATTGAGGGGTATTTTAGTCAAATAGATAAACAAGAGGTATATTTAGACTCAGATAGTTTAAGGATATTTTTTGCCCTTTTCCATAAATAAAATAGTCTTGAGAAAGTGTATATATATATATAGGAATTAGGATGGTCCACAAATATTGTCAACTAAAGTTTTCCAATTACACATCAAGCGGCATTATGTGGCAATTAATTTAGGTCTCGTATTGACGATAATTAAAACGTGTTCACAATCACTATCGATTAGAAAGCAAGTTATTCATTCAATTAATAATTTGGTGTGCATTAAGTTGCTTTGTGCAATTTATTAATTAATATTAAATGCTAACTTTAGACAAATTTCAAATGATCCCCTAGTGCACATAAATTAAACTTTAGATAGATATGCTAAAAATCAAGTATATGTTGATGTAAAATCATTTTAATTTGGTAATTCTTTTTTTCCTTTTTACATTTCTTGATGATGGTTCAATGTAAATACAGATATTTCAAAACAAAACAAAAAAATATAGAGAGAAGGAAATGTCAAGGCAGTGATTCTTGGAAAATAGAATAAAAGTAGAAAAAAATTGAAATCAAAAGGTCGATTTCTCTATTAGTATTTTTAAACTGAGAATATGTTTGGTACGAAGAAAAATATTTGCCATGAAAACTATTTTCTTAGAAATAAAAAAAATGACTTATTTTATGATGTTTGATAAATATATAGAAAAATATTATCACGAGAACATTTATTTATATATGAGGTAGGTAACAATGCATTCTGTACACACATATAGTTGTCTAGAAAGGAAAGGATCTGAAAATATTAATTTTGAATTGTCATTTTCTTTGACATATCATAACTCATAAACTTTCTGGTCGAAATTAGGAAACTGTCCTTTTCTTTTAAAGTTGAAATCTCCATTAATCGTGCAATAGGATAAGAATTTGGAGTTATTTTCTTTATTTCTATAATGGTCAATGTTAAATTATATTTAAAATCGTAAAATGATTTTTGAATATTTTTTTAAAAGGAAAAATAAGAGAAAATGTAAAAAAAATAAAACACAAAATGGTTTAAGTAGTCTGTATAAAACTCCATAAAAACCTCAAGGCAATCATCTCCCCTACTTTTCCCCATATTGTTCAATTTAACTATTGGCATGTCTAATCAAATTGCTCCAATTGATCCAAATGTCGATCCTTATGGATACTTGGGCATCATTCCCAACACTGATGGCTCTATCACACGTTCCCAAATTCCACCTCGTCCATTTTCCACCACCATTCCTGATCATGATTCCTCCGTCTTTATAAAAGATCTCGTCATTAACCCCGTTAAAGATACATGGGCTCGTATTATCATCCCTCATGAAGTACTAAACTCTGAAAATAAACTCCCTCTTGTAGTATATTTTCATGGTGGAGGATTTGTAATGGCAATTACTATAGACACACCAATTTTACAAAAATTTTGTGCAACACTTGCGGTTGAAATTCCAGCGATAATTGTATCGGTCGATTATCGATACGCCCCCGAAAATCGACTCCCAGCAGCGTATGATGATTGTGTGGAATCGTTGTATTGGATCAAAAATACCCCTAACGAGTTGTTGAAAAAATATGCTGATTTTTCAAAGTGTTTTCTATTGGGCACTAGTTCTGGTGGCAACATAGCGTACCACGTAGGACTACGTGTAGCTGGAGTTAGTGAATACCTTAAGCCTTTAGAAATCAAAGGGTTGATTTTATATCATAGTCTTTTTGGTGGAAATGAAAGGACAAAATCGGAATTAAGATTAGCTCGCGATAAGATGTTGCCCCTTAATGTGAGTGATATTATGTGGGAGCTAGGGTTACCTATTGGTAGCGATCGCGATCATCCATATTGTAATCCAATGGTGGAGATTCAATCAAATGAAAATTTGTTTGATCAAGTGAAAATACAAGGTTGGAAGATTTTGATAATTGACTGCGATGGTGATCCTTTGATCGATCGACAAATTGAGTTTTCAAAGATGTTGAAGGCAAAAGGTGTGCAAGTTGTGGATTGTTTTAGTGAAGGAGGGTTTCATGGTTGTGAGTATTTTGATGGCATGAAGTTGAAGGAATTGACCCTTGTTGTAAAGGAGTTTATGAGAGGTAATTAAAGCACTTGTGGCAAGTGATCTTTAATTTGATGAAATATTTGTAACAATTATGAAAATAGGAGTCCACTCTCAGAGCTATACTCTGAGAAAAAAGAAGAAGCATTGTTTAGATTTCACCTCTACAGTTTCAAATAAGTTGTAAAGTATAAAGTGAAGCAAATATATCCATGTCGTTGTACTTGTACATAAATTTCCAGCACCTCATGGTAATATAATCAATGAATTATCTTAGTTACCAAAAAACAGCATTCAAAAGCAAGAATATAATGAAAATCAGAGGAAGATACAAAGTCTTATGCTTTTCTCAAACTTTATAGACCAGAGAAAAGTATTTTTGTTAAACTGATTGATCAAAAGTTCTTTACATGGTGTAAATACATTCTAATTGTTGTATATCTAACAACAGGTTTAAAAATATTAGCAACAAAAACTTGAAAACAACAATGTAAGCTACAGCTAAAAATATCAAAATATCTCTTTTCTCAGCACCAATTATCCCCGCACAAGCATTTACCATTTACAAAATGATGAAAACCTGAAGCGTCTCTTACGTGTATATCTCTCTTGGTGACAACAGAAACATATTTGAAGAATGTATGGCAGTCACCACAGAGAAGCACATTCTTCATAACGCGAACAGGTTTTCCAGGTCTCGTCATAAGAAGCCCAAAGGTTACAGATAGTTTTGCACTGTGGTAGAACAAGAAGTCTTTCTTCTGATGCTCCTCCACTTCATGGAGCACAAGACTTGTATCAGGTACATATCCAGCTTTCAGACACTCCAAAATAAGTATTTGTAAGCCACTGTATATGTCTTTTGACTGTGAATGCAATTTGTCTCTAGCAAAGAAGGAGTGAACCTTGTCCCCGAATATGATCCAACTGCGTCCTGGTATTTTTCGGATACCCTTCTCCCTCATTTCTGCCCTAACAAGTTCCGAACACTGCCATCTTCCAGATGCTGAGTAAAGATTTGACTTTAGTATGAAAGTAGAAGGATCTTGTGGGACAATGGAAAGTATATTCTTCATGGCCCTTTTTCCAATGATAGCATTCACATGTAACCTACAACCATCAAGCAAAGCATGCCAAACAGAAGCCTTTGGTTCAAATGGCATTGCACTAATTATCTTTTCTGCTTCTTCGAGCAGACCCCAATAGCCTAAGACACCTACAAAACCTGCATAATGCTCCGAGGTGGGGTTTACGTTATATGAGGATTGCATAGAGGAAAAGAACTTTTGGCAACAATCAACTAAATTTGTGGAAGTGTGTCTATAAGCTGATATCACAAGGACACAAGTGATAGAATCTGGGTCTACTCCTAACCTCTCCATCTTCGCCCATGTATCCAATGCCCCATCCCCCTGCCTATGAAGGACATAGCAAGTCAATAAACCATTCCATGATACTAAATCATGTGTAGGCATAGCCTCAAAGGTCTTAACTGCACTTTGCATTTCACCACACTTAGAGTACATGCTGATCATGGCATTCCCAACACCGGTATCAGACATTAAACCATGTTTCCAGGCATAGCAATGGATTTGTTCCCCTAACTTCAGAATCCCTAATGTTCCACAAACACCAAGAATAGTGGCCAATCCAACTTCATCAACAACTAGCGATTTTTCTGAATGTCTTACCAAGAACAGAGAAATAGCTTCTTCTGGTTGTCCATTTCTAGCATATGCACATATCATTGATGTCAATGCAATTGAATTATCATGGTCAAGTGGCAGATCATGAAATATCTTTTCAGCATCATCCATTCTCCCACACCGCGTGCACATATCAACCAATGACGTCTCAATATGATCATTTAATTTTAAACCACACTTGAGGATAAACGCATGAATCTGTTCGCTTATCTTCCTCTCCATCATTGAACCACAAGCATTAAGAACACTGGTCAATGCAAAATCAGTCAACTCCATTCCTCCCTCCAACATTCTACAAAACAACGCCAGTGCCTTAAACCCTTCATGATTTTGACTAAATCCAGCCAAAAGAGCATTATAAGAAACAGAATTTCTCTCAGGCATGCTGTTAAAAATCTCCATCGCCAAATCAACGTGTCCAAATTCCATATAAGCTACAATCATTTCAGTCCAACTAAAGACATCCTTCACAGGCATCCTCTCAAACACATCCACTACATTCTTCAAGGTTCCACACTTAGTGTAAAATCCTATAAGTGCATTATTCACACTCAAATTACCATGTAATCCATTTTTAAGAGCATACCTGTGAAGCTCTTGGCCTTCTCTTACTGCCAAACAGCGAGAAGATGCAGCCAAAAGCGTCGAAAGAGTAAAATGATCAGCTTTCAAGCATTCATTTCTCCGCAACTCACGATACATTTCAAATGCTCTATCATACATGGACTGTTCAACCTTACAAGCAATCACAGTGTTCCACGAAACAATGTCCCTTTGCGGCATAGCATTAAACAAGAGAACAACAAACTCCAACAAACCACACTTACTATACAACCCCATAAGTGCATTGACAACATAAATATAACTCGAATAACCCAATCTTATAACAAGACCATGTACTTGACAACCCAACTCAAGATTCAATGAACGAATACAAGCAGTCAAAATAGCAACATATGTAAATTCATTTGGTTCAATACCTAAATCCCTCATTTCAAGAAACAGCTCAAAGGCTTCTCTTTCACGATTCGACTTGGCAAAAGCTGATATAATTGCAGTGTATGACACAACATCAGGGCTCATAAGCGAATCAAAAACTCTCTCAGCAAGATTCAAGCAACCCAATTTGATATAAGCTGCAATTAAAGCATTTTTCAAATAAACATCCTCTTCTTCAAACTTGACAAGTGAAGAATGAATTATCTTGGTGAGCACAACATCACCACACCTAACAGAAATCCGAAGCAAATTGGCATAATCAATACAATTAGTGTCAGAATCTACTGACACGTTAGAGTCCTTAAATTGCTGAGGGGTCAAAAGGGGTTGCACAAGATGATATTTTGAAGGGTTCTGAAGGAACAAAGAGGGTTTATGCTTACATTTGGTTTTCTTGGTAGTTGTTAGGCTTGAAGTGCAGGTGAAAAGTGAATGAAGGTTAAAGGGTCGAGGAGGGAGAAGGGATAAAGGGATAGCGTTGTTGGGGCTGTAAAAAACGGCAGCCATGAAAGAAGAAAGGCGCCAAGCATAGTCAAGTGTTTATTCCTCTCTGTTTTCTTGGGGGTTTATGGCTATCCAGAAATTGGGTGTCCATTTTTCTAGAAGGGTTTATCTATAGTTTACTCAAAATCTTCAAGTTTTCAGCCCAGTGGACTTAACTGCCAGATAATTTTGTGAAGGGGTCATGGAAGTCTTGGAATTTCTACTTTGCCCCCTAAAAGTTGAGTATTTGAACTTATGACCCTTATATATTAGTGTATGCACATTTGGATTGTTTGTTTTAATTAACTTCCATAGGTACTGCAACAAATACAACTACTCATCATGCGACCATCAATAGTCGACTCAAGAAGTCCTAAACAAGTTGAACTCAAATATATAAATGCTCACTTATCATATTCTTCTTTTATAAAGTAAATTTCAAAAACATGATTTACAAATAATAATCAAAAACGCATTTCAAAGTGCTTGTCAGATGTGATCTAACATTGTCTTTTTGCTTCTCAAATGTGATCTAAGTTAACGTTGTTTTCTAGATCATCTGTAAACTCAATTAAACTAGAACACATATAAATAACTATACATTTGGTATATTTTTAGAATCTCACAAAAGTGAAATATTCCAGCCAAAATTTCTGAGAAAAGGATTTCTATGACGAAAATAACCTTATAAGGTTCACTATGTGTTATATTTTACCTATCTCATGCGCAAACAGGCATGGATAATAGAATCAATCTCCCCATTTCACGCTGTGAGAACTGCATAATAGGAGTTACCCTTTTTCAACCATCAATGAACAAGCAGAATTTTACAGAATGTCGATGAGTATGATAAAGGAGATGCAATTACACCGGTCAAATATAGATGTAAAATTTTCTACCAACTGCAGAAGTCGAACATACCATCACAAAGAATTAACTCTGGTAGTACTAATATACATGTAACTGGGGAGCTTCTCACCACCACAACAAATTGAGAAGTCAAAAACCAGAAGGACCCTTCTATATTTGGAAAATGAAAAGGAAAACAATGCTTCGCTCTGGGCATACTATAAACCCTTCTCTGGAAGGTGCATTAATAACAAAATGCTTCAAAGTGTTGCCATGGCCAGCCCCCCACTTTCATGTTATTTCCAGAATAGGCCATAGAAACACTCATCTGAAGCTCACACTCTGCTGCTACCCAAAACAATGTTGCTTCTCATCTTTTCTTTGACAAATGTTTTTTGGCATCACCTGCAGTATGCTTCTTCCGCCTTCCACCAGCTGAAGCAGGCTCTACTAAAGGGCCTGACCAATTCTGGACAGGTTCTTTTGAATATGTGAATGAGGTCGAACTGAATGGCACATCAGGAGGGACAAGGGATGGATCAATGTGATGTGAGGCACCCAAGGGAACGCCAAGTCCTCCGTCCTGGTGTGGTGGGGGGAACTTCTCACTCTTGCTCTTTGCATTTGCATGAGTGATTAGGCGCCGCCTCTGCAAAGTATACAGATAGGAACCAGTTGAAAAAATCAAACAGAGCAACTGATAAAACTAATGCAGTAGTCATCATGTAAATAGAGAGCATAACGTTGTGTGAAGGACTATACACCACTGAAACTTGGCCCCAAAAATTATACTCAGATGAAATAGAAAGCCTATACGGCATATGCCATTGAAAAAGTGTCAAACCTGAAACTTGCCAAAGTACAATGCAGAAAAGGAACCAAGACTTCTAATAAGTCTCCAAGTAAGCATAACAGAGAGAACTTATGTGACTGCTCTTGATCTACTTTAGACTAGCTACTCATATCTCCCACCTTTTACATTCTAATCTCTGTTTAATTGACAGTTGATGAAAAACTTTGTTCAAACTTGAACTTTCTTGGTGACACTAAAGAACAAGACGAGTGATGATGAAATAATGTGTGGCATAGTAAATCAAAAAAATAAAAATACGAAGCTTCAACTATAACAGAACCATAACAAAGAAGGAGACATGTCACAAGGGCATACGTCAATATTAGCTTGATTTTCTGCATTGGCATCTGGAGCAGGGCCAGCACGGGTCCGTTCACGATGGCGTGCTCTCTTAGCACCATCTCCCGGAGCTTTATTAGCGGCTCTTAGCCTGCATGATGAGATGGAATGAACAGCTTGTCACAATTTCACAAGCATCAGATGGAACCCAGAAGTGAATATTTTATATTGTTATTTCTAATTAGGAATGGAAAAAATGAAAATACAAAATATCAATGGCATCTATAGTTACATTGTTGAATAACTGTAAAACCAATGAGAGAAGAAAGAGATTTTCAAAAGATCAATTGCATTCAAACATAGTAAACTTACAATGTAAAGCATTGACAAGTTGACAAGCAAGTTCAGTACGCTACAAATATCTTTTTTCACAAGACACGAATATCTGACTTTATATTTCTAAATTGCAAATGACATATTGTTGCCAGAGAAAGTAAAGAGCGCACAAGACCTCCATACTTACTTAAATTACTAGGATCAGTAACACTATTCTCTCTTCTAGTTTGCTAACACAGATGGCATTTCCCCTAATTTTAAAGTTGCACTCACCTTCCCCCATTGGAAACTGTTACATAATTAGTTATTTTTATTTGAGCAAGAAGGAGAATGAGGGCACTGATTATCTTTTCTTTACCCTCCTGATTGCTTCACACTGTAGTGACTATATATATGTTTTACATGAATGTATGACCAAGACTGTTAAAGAACTCTTACAATACTGGACTGTAAAGAAGACATTAGGATTTGGATTGCAATCATTGCCTGTATTTTGTGGATCTTTGTAGAGAGAGAGATATCAAAGGTGTTTTGAAGGAAAAGCTGAGATTACGCATTATTAAAATACAAGTGCAAGTATCTAGTAACCATGTTATTTCATCTCAAAAAAGTACAAGAAGTGGATATCTTAACAGGCTGTCTAATTTAACTATAGGCACAATTAAGAACTACGTCTCTATACCTCTTTTGCACATTACTATCATTATCTTAGTGATGGTTTTGCTATATAACTAGGCTATAACTTATCAAAAATGGAGTATTATAACTTGTTGAAATAGATGATTCCAAATCTTCTATAACATTTTATGTTGCAATACATGCATGAATACAAATCATCTATTGCATTTTATGTTACATTAAAATATAACACATAATCATGACATTTGTCACCAGTAATCCAAGTCATTCATAACTCATTTTTCTGTAGGTAATTAATCTCCTTGGATCATATTATGGTGAATATTATGGTGAATCTTATCTCTCTTTTTTCAATTGTTTCATGAGTTTCATCTTTTTGATTGGTAATTAACCCCAAAGTTTCTCTTTCCGTCCCCCCATATTTGGATGTTAGTTCATGGACACTTGAGCATAACTTAAATGACATAAAACAGAACTTGAGTGGAATGATAGATACAGAGGGGCAAACACCCAGCGGAAGCTTTTCCCTTACTATCCTATGGTGCCTCAATAACTTGAAATCCTTGTACTTGAGTTCTCTATTCTTCTATTTGTTTCTTCTTCCATTTTCAAAGTTGAGCAGAGATAAGGGCAAAGGAATTTCTTGTAACAAAATAACCTCATGAAGGACCCAATGTTATGTGCATATTAATGTAAACTGTAGTCTAAAAGAAGACGCAAGACCAGCATAAAGACCCGAGAACACTTGTAGATTCTACATTAAAGAAAAACAATAGCTAAAATTTTAGTACTAAATTTGCATACTCAAATTCTAAATCATGATAGGTTCCGCAGTAAAGTCATTATAATATTTCACTTCTAAATATTTTCTTTTCGAGAACTCAAAATTGTTGAATATCAAATTCTTGCATTTCTAACGTGTTGTTTGATCGAGATACTGCAAACTCAACTTTTGAGTTTCTGGAAGAAGGTTTTGTTTATTAAAGAAAATGTTTATTTGAGAAGTTCTGCAAGTAAGTATTTCTTCTTTTTTTATAAAGGTTTTCAAACTCGGTTTTTCAAATATTTCAAAAACACGAAGATCTAAAGACTAGTTTGAGTTTTGAAGATTTGAAGAACTGAGGTACACAATCTTCATAAAGGGAAGTCCTTTATATTTTTGGGAAAACATAGAAAGTTACAAAAACTCAAAAAGCTGCGTTCAAACAACTAAAGATTCAGTTATTGCAAATTTGAAACAAATGCCACCAGATTCTTTCAAGAATTATCATTAATCAAGTAAACATGCTGCTACCTGTTAGTTCAAGGTGAACTGTTGGTCAGAAGAAGTAAGTAGGAAATCAAACATGATAGAAGGAATAAAAAACAGTAAAAAGTCAGGAATCAACCAGATGCCTGGTTCACACTACACAATAGTAAAAAGTGCTGACCGTCTAGCTTCATCATCCCGCCGTTTGGCATCCATTTCTTTGGTCGGAGGATACTTTGGAAGACTAGAGGGATCACAAGCATATGGCTCTGTATTGAAAAACTGCAGAACTTGAACTTTATTAACCATAGAAGAAGGCAACAGCATAAGAATACAAGTGAAACACGTTACTTAAAATGATATGTTCAGGTTAAGAAAAGACACGGTCTATCACAATAACACATGCTATACAAGAACACCAGAAAAAAGAATGAGGCAGTGCTGCACTGAGAAAGCATGACAGTGGGAAAAGTAGTTAAATAGCTCATAACTACTCTTTATGTTCTTCCTTCAAGCTAAACTATTTGACGTCTTACTTGTCCCACTCCTCTATGTCAAGGAAACTGAAATAACAAATATTTTTTGCTTTATCCGTGAACATTAAGGATTATCAAACACAGTTCAATTGTACTCCTTCATCCAAATTTGTTTGGCTCTTTTTGCATATTAAGGGTTGATTTGATCAATTTGAAGCTAAGCGCCCATTTGGATCAATTAAATGGAAAGAACTGATGTTCAGCTGAAAGAGCGGGAGAAAGGAAGAAGATGTAGAGCACGGAATGTAGTTTCACTAGCATTAATGTGGGTGGTGTGGAGAGAAAAATAGGGGAGCTTTTGAAGGGGTAGAGTCAAGTTTTTCTCAGTTAAGAAGTAGCCTCCGATCTTTTATTTTCTTTTGGTGCACCCATACAGTTCCCAATTGTATAGATGATTGGATACAGTTTGTAGAGAATCATTTCTTTTTTGTAGATTCTTTACCTTTTGGTATATAACCTTTGTATACAGCCAAGTTTTGGGCCATGTTTATGAATGAAATTACATTTATTTGATCAAAAAAAAAATCTATTTTTCGGAAAAGGGTCAAATTTTCCACTTTACAGCTTGAATTGAGCAAGTTGATTTATGTTAGATGTTTGGGTCTAATATTACCCATCTTATTAAAACCAGGTTCCATTTTTGCCCTTGAACCCTAACGAAGTTCCAACCCTGATGGCAATTTTAAACCTCAACTAAGTTCCAGCCTGAGGTTTAAAGCAGCTTGGCATTTTTTACTAACTATTCCAAAAGACCTCAAATCTCCAAAACAAACTAGTGCGTATTTTGATACAAGTGCTTTTAGCTTCAAAAGCTTGGCCAGACAGGCTACAAACTTGATGACAACAATTATCTAGTGTGTATTTTGATACAAGTGCTTTTAGCTTCAAAAGCTTGGCCAGACAGGCTACAAACTTGATGACAACAATTATCTTTTAACACCAAATCTAGATATTCAGAAACTAAATGAGCAGTAGTATAAACTATAATCTACCTCATATCTCAAGGTTAGAATACATTGTAAAATGTCAGTGGTTCACTAAGCTGTGGATCTTTGCAGGCAAAGAGTGAAAAACATTTTTGGATAAAGGGAGTATTGATGATTGTTCTTTTCTTTCAATAGTCAATAGTCTGCATAAGCGAAGTGGTAATTACTCACTGCAGACATTTATTCCCGTAATTTACTTTCACCAGCGAACCTGAACTCAAAAACAAGTGACAAAAATAAGCCAACCGCAGATTAATCACCTAAAAAGTTCCAAACGACTGATCACTTGCTAAAAGTTTTCACCAGAGAATCCAAACTTAAAACATCACAAGTAGCAAATAAATCTGCCAAGGGCTGTACTAAAAGTACCAAACGACTACAGAACTGAGAGTAGTCTTATTACCAAACCAAAATTATATGGTAAGAATTTTGTAATAACAAATGTGAGGCTATGCACCCAAAGGTGTGGCCTAGTGGTCAATGAAGTGGTTGAGAACCCTCAGGTCTCAGGTTCAAATTCAAAACACAGCAGAGACAAAAACACAAGGTGATTCTTCTCATCTGTCCTAGCCTTGGTGGATAGAGTTACCTAGTACTTGTTGCTGGTGGGAGGTGGCAGGTATCTCGTGGAATTAGTCGAGGTGCACGAAAGCTAGCCCCGACACCACGGTCATCAAAAAAAAAGTGAGGCTATTGGCAATTTCTCATTTACACCAATAACTTCAAGCTACAGAGCTTCCTAACATAAAAAGCACAGTGATAGAACCCAAACCCATCTAAACTAGTTTATATCTCACAGAAAGCATAACTTTGGTGCAGCCATACCAGGTAAAACTTAAGGAAATTTCTTCTACCACTAGAGAAATCATAGCAAGTACCTCTATTTTAGTATCTATCATGTGATTAGGCTCTTAAACTTACTAATCTCTGCCAGCAAAAGGAGTTAATGACCCCAAGATATTATAATTTAAAAAAAAAAAAACTAAAAAATTCTGTCTTCAAAAGATAGTTGGCAGTGAAAGGAGAACAAGACTACTAATTAGAATAAGACAATTTGGAAACAGAAACTACTCACTTCACTTCGTAGTGCATCAGTTGCCGTCTTGCGTTCTGCGGGATCAATTGCAAGTAATGTATCAATCAGGGGAAGTGAAGACTGAGGAAAATCTTTATAAGTCTCCCTAATGCATCGTCTGTAGGGTTCTCGAGGCTTGAAAAGTGTTGCATTCGGCAACTTGGACTTCTTCCAGTACTCTTCTGATGGCGAGCCACACAGTTTATATATCTTATGCAATTGTTCTACCTTAGTGACAGAAAAAATTATCGTTAATAACTCATGCAGGAAAATAAAAACAGTCCTGTGTATTAACACATTCCATACAAGCTTAAAGTCAATTAGTATACTTGTCACAGAAATTCTATAGTTTGTGGCCTTGAAGTATCAAAATAAATGCTAATTAAGCGATCTACCAGATATAGTATTCCTGATTCCAAAAAAATACAAGAGACATCTAAAGCTACCGACAAGAAACAGAATCAATTTAAAGTTTAACACATACTGTCCACGGTTTTCTTTCAATTTTAGAGACATAGTATGCAAATATCACCCTTATAAATGTTGTTAGGTTGTTATCCAATAAGAGCTAGTAAAAACCATTGTTCCTCACAGAATTGATTACTTTTATTGAACTTCCAAAATTAGCAATACTGGTAGAAATGATATGCACTCAGCCTAATCATTCTTGGGTCGGAACTCGGATACTCTTATCATTGAGACCATCATTCCAAAGCTAGTAACCAATTATAGAGAGTTCGTTTTTGAAACTGACAATTATTGAGAGTTCACTTTCCCTGAGCAAATAGATTATCCTAGTCGACTCTGCTGAATTTCGCATGTTGATACAATGGGCCTTGTAAATAGCAATAAGTCGCTAAGGTTCTATTACAAGAAACCCTTGCAAACTACAGCAATTTATAACATATTACTACAGAAAATCTATAACAAACTACAGGGATTACCTCAGTCCGACCAGGCATAATAGGTTTTCCAGCCAATAACTCAGCTAAGATGCAACCTGCACTCCATAAATCAATACCTACACCATAATCAGTAGCACCTAGAAGCAGCTCTGGTGGTCTATACCAGAGAGTAACCACTCGACTAGTCATTTGATGCTTATGACGAGGATCGAAAATAGTAGCCAGTCCAAAATCAGCAATTCTGAGAATGCCAGAATTGTCAAGAAGAAGATTTGACCCCTTAATATCGCGATGAAGCACATGACGATTGTGACAATGCTCAAGGCCAGACAATAGCTGATGCATGTAGCATTTAACCTGCAATAAAAGAACAATAATCAGCAAACTCTAATTCTACAACTGAGATGGATATTATCTAACTCACATCCCTCATTCTTCAAAACAGAACTACTACCACTCAGCATCCTAACCTGTGCTTCCGTAAACTTGATATCTGGACTTGCAGCAAGTCCAGCTAAATCATGATCCATGTACTCAAAGACCAGGTATAAACTACATGACATTCGTGAGGTAACCAAGCCTTCCAATTTGATGACATTGGGATGATCTAGTTGTCGCAAAATGATAATTTCTCTAGCCATGAATCTCACACTCTCAGGTTCTAGATTGTCAAAACGCACTTTCTTTAGAGCAACAATTTTACCAGTAACAGTATCTCTCGCTTTGTAGACATTACTGTATGTCCCTTGGCCAATCTATTAAGAAAAACAGAGGCAGATTGTTAACCATCAAAAGCAGAAATCTAATTCAGGACTCAGGAGAACTTGAAATGTTTCAAGGAAAACAAAAAGAAATCTTAAAAGCTACCTTATCAATTTTCTCAAAAGTGTCAGCGCGTCGTGGGAGCCAACCATCAATTGCTTCCCCAACATGAGCAGAGAGCCAGGAAGGCCATCCAGCAGCGACCTGCTCCCCATGTTTATGCTTAGGTGGATTACTTAATCTTGGATCAGGCTTCGACCTTCTCTTTTCTTTCCTAGATTTTCCGTCATGCTCCGCCTTGTCATCCTTCTTAGTTTCGTCACCTTCATCGGCTTCCACAACTTCAGTATGAACAGTTACATTTTCAGCCCCCTTGACCTCTAAAGTTTCAGTTAATTCAGCACTAATGCTCTGACTCTTCTTCTCATAATGCACACCACCTTCCCTTTTCTCCTCCCTGCCGTTGTGTACTAAGCCTGATGAAACTTCCCGACCCAAAACACACCCCATCTTTCAGGTCTACACTTCATAACTCAACATTCTCATCGATTAACCAACCAATTTCCACAAATCAACTCAGAATCTACAACACCTACAATAGCAATATGATAGTCCATAATTAAATTGGCCAAGCAAGAAAAAAGAGTAAATCATTAAATAGGCAAGAGAAAAGGAAAAAAAACAGTAAATCATTAAATTGGCAATAGTTGAGTTCCCTACTTAGCATCAAATCTTAAGGACCCATGACAGAGCCCCCCAACCTTGCCCGCCCCATAAACAAGAAGAATCCAAAGAAACGAATTACTCCAACACTGGGCAAAGTTTGGTATCTTTTTGAAAGGGGTGGTCAATTAGACAGAATTACCACAGATTCAAACACAGTCAACAAACAATCTTAAAAAAAAAAACAGAACGTAACACCTTCTTCTCAGAAACTAACACGCATCAACCATCAATAAAAACTCCAAAAAAAAACAGAAACAACCTTTTTACTTGCTCGCACTTGTCACCCAGTTTCAGATTCACAGTCAAACCCAAATCAATCTTTTCATCTGACCCAAAATAAAACCCACCAAGACCCACACTGTAGCAACAAAAATACACCTACAAAAGGATAAAAACCCTAATACCCAAATTAACAAAACTACAACACACGTCCACAAACATGAAAATGACAGTCTTTATGCTAGTAAAAGTCCAAGAAAAGCAACAAAAAAAGGGGCAAGTGGAAATTACTTGCTGGGTTGATCGAATCTGAGCCAAAAAGAGGAAAGAAGAGAGAGAGAGAAAGAGTTTATGTGGTGTCTGTAGTCTTCAACGTTTCTTTGCTGTAAGACAAGAAAAGAGTATAATCATAAAAGAATGAATCGGACAACCAATCTCTCAGTATATACAAATATATAAATATAGATATAGAGAGATACAGAGGGGGTGGGTGGGGTGATTCATTTACGTGGGGGGTGATTTGCTCTTCTGCAAGTCAAAACACTCGACTGTGGGGACAGGGGAGAGAAGAAGAGGAGAGTTTTGGAATCATGAGCGAGATTTTCTCCAACAAAATACAATTATTTAGTATAAAAAAGTGGTCTTATATCATAATTAGACGAAATCATAGTCCCATTTGTCCAAAAGCATAATTTAGCTTTTGAAAAAAATATTAGAAATTTTAATAATAGTACAAAAAAAATTAATAATTTATTACTCTCCCTCTGTCCCTAATTACTTGTCAACTCTTGAATTGACACACTTATTAAAAAAATAATGATTAACATAGTGAGTTTACCATTTTACCATATTAATTATAAAGTGGATGAATTAAAAATTTAAATTTCAAGAAGTTCTACCTTTTTCAAACTAATTAATTGAGGGTATAATAGGTAAAAACAATTTGTCCTTTCTTGATTTGTCAAAATGGATAAGTAATTAGGGACAACTATAAAAAGAAAAATCGACAAGTAATTAGGAAGAGAGGGAGTAGTTGATTATTAAAACTTGATGAATTGAAGAGAAAGGCATCTAACCCTTAGAGAAAATGGAATGGCGATTTGCGATAAGATTCTTTTCACACAAAAATGTAAAATAATATGTAGAGGTGTTTTAAGACATAATGAGACAATGTACAATAACATAGTCGATGTAAACTCACAAATATGATTACGAGGACTTCACATTTATTTTGGGAGCTAAAGAGGTTATTTTTGGTAGACAATGATTCAAGAAAAAACATAATAAAAACCAGTTCACAAAACAAATGAAAGCGAAGAAGCTATGACATAATAGTAAAAGTAGCATGACAGAGCATTCTAGAAAAAAGAATACTTCTAGTATTTACAATAAAAAAATACTACGATCGAAGTGCAAGAACACATAATAGTAAAAATTAAAGAATAGGAAATTATAAGAGTGATTTTTTGACTACCGGTGTGGAATAATAAGTGAAATAACGTTCAATTACCTATTAGTCTTCTATCCTAATTTGTGTCCTTCATAACCTCATATTTAAAATCATGTTTTCGATAAGCTAAAGTTACATCACGTCGTGTCTAATCATTTTCTCCATAACCACTTATTGTACCACTCTAGTAATCATCCATAGTCAACCTCTCACACTTCCTCACTAAGGTATTCATGCATCTCCTTTTACATGTCCAAACTATCTCAACCTCATTTTTCATCTATTATCCTCTACTGAAGTCACTCCAACCTTAACCTGAAATAATTGCATAAAAGTAGATTTTTGTTTATCTACTAGTAATCTTGTAAGCTCATCTACAAGTTCAATATACATTATTATATGAAACAATTGCATAAAAATACAATTCATAACATAATAGTGTAATCAAGTTTTTAAATTTTCAACAGTCTTAAAAAACTCATATAATAATATACACTCGTTATATAACTTCAAACAAAACATAAATTTGTTTTATAACAATATTTGAAAATTTTGATATACAATATTGTATAAAACTATAAGAGGTGTATATAGGCTCCTATACACTATTATGCAAACTAATTTCATTTTCTTTAAGCCCTTTTTAAAAAATTTAACTCATAACTAATTCAATTTTTTCTTCACAACAATTGTAGTTTACATTATAAACTCCTCCAAATGTTTAGATTAAATTGACAACACCGTATTCTGGTAACTAACAAACACAAAAAAGTCATATTTAAAATTTAACTCAAATCTAATTCAAATCAATCCAAAATTACTTACGTCTAAATTTCAAACTCCTCTAAAAAAAAACTCTTGATGGCAATAATTCAATGGACCAACAGGGAAAATAATAACAATTGTAACATCAACACCGTCAGCACTAAAGTTCATGATGAGATGCCCAAAAATTATCTTTAAATTAAATTTAGCAAACAATAAATGCAAATATAAGCTAGTTTTGGTAGTATTTTGAAACATAGATCAATTTTAATAGTGTTAATATTTTATTTATATTTGTCAGTGATTATTTTTGTTACATTTAATGTACTTAACAGGAAAATATTGAATACTGATCTATATAGTTTCAAAGTTCTTAAGTAGAAAATGAAAATAAGAGAGTGTCACATAGACTACAAATTAATACTTAAAAAATGATTGAATATAGCTTAAAGTGAGATAACTGTAGATATAACTAAACATATGACCTATTTCAAGTCATAATCGAATTTATAATTTTTGCAAGTTTAACCAAAGTCTTTTTATAACAATGTATTCAAAACATTCAACCATTTTGATATGCATACCCCATATAAATTCTTACCGCGTCATTTGAGTTATTTTCCTTTTGTCACTTTGTTATTTACCTAATATCATATCTATGATTTTGACTGTTAAATTTTTATTTTTTTTACAATCACGAGCTAAAACTAATGGATAAAGAGTTTTCATATCAACATTTTCTCCTGATGAGAATCAAAATGACTATTCAATGATGTACTCTCAATTATTACATTGTTTATAAGTAAAAATAATATATTATCGATCACTAATAACCAGCAAATCTGAAAAAAGACTTGACATAAATTGAATTAATTTGAATAATAAAAGTAAGATTGTGATAAATTTAATGTCAATGAAATAGATTAAATGAAAGAAAAATAAAAGCAAAAACAAAAACAAAATAAAACTAACATTATATTAATATTACGTTTTATGCGAAGAAAAAAAACACCAGACATATAATTTTAAATAAAAGTTCACTTCATAATTGAGATATATAAAATATTCAAAGAAAATAACAATTTTCATCATGGTTTGTATTAAAAATTTAAAATATTATTTCAATCCGTTTTGCACTACTTAATCCTCATTCCTCAATAAGGTCAAAATTCGTCTGTCTTGCATCCATTCCATCTATATATATATATATATAAAACTATTTCTAAACACAAAATCATCATTCAAGAAAAAAAAATTAACGATATAATCTGTCATACTTGAAATAACAAATTTTATATAGGCGAATTCTTAAAAAAAACTAACACACGTCAGAATGATTGCTAGAAATGAAAATGTAATTGATAATTGATTATTCAATATTATTATAAACACGAATATATACAATAACAAAAGTTAAATGTTATCCCTGGTTACCAAAAAAAAACAACTATTTTTTGATGAAATTTCTTATATAAACTTTGTCTAATAAACATTCAATATAATTACAATTAAATTTACATCATAGTCATTTGTATTAGTATTTAGATTTAGAAATATGCACTCACTTAAAGAAATATACGTTTAGAAATATGTATTCACTTCATTATTTCATTTCATTAATATTTTTATTAATATAAATAAAATCAGTGCTCTTTCCTTCTTATTGATAGTAATAAGACTATCTTAAAAAAAGAGAGAGAAGATGGTATAAGTATATAAAATTGAAAAATACACTTAACTGATTTATTTCTAAAATTAAATCACAATTAATGTTTTCTAACATGTTTGATTTCAAATAAGAGAATAATCAACTTAAATCTTAATTTAATAACAATAGAGATAAGACTAAATCCAAAGATTTTGTCAAGTGCCAAATGTTTTACAAATACAAATTCAAACTGTTATAGAACTTTCCAAAATTTATTGAAAAATACTCATTGCAACAAAAAATTGAAGATGTCTTGGTAGTACATTTTTTATCAAAAGAATTTATTTATTTATGTGGATTGAAAATTTAAAACACTATTATAAGAAGGAATTATTCTAATCAAAGTTGTTTCATAATCTTTTATTAAAAGCACTAAATATTTGAGGAAAGACTTTCATTTGTGTGTGCTTAATTTTTGAAAAAAAGATTATTCTAATATTACTGATAGCATTTTATTTATATCATTTAATAAAAAATATAAAATAATTAAAGAGCAAATCAAAAGATTCTATAAAGGAAACAACTGCAACAATAAATTGAAGATATATTTTGGTTAATACATCTTTTTTATTAAAAGAAATATATTATTTATTTATGTGAATCAAAAATCTAAAACACTATTATAAAAGAGAATTATTCTTAAAGAAGGTGTTTCATAATCTTTTATTGAAAGCAATAAATATTCGAGGAAAATGACTTTCATTTGTATGAACTTAATTTTTGAAAAAAAGATTATTTTAATTTTATTTGACGAATCTTATTTATATCATTTATAAAATAAATAAATAAGAAAATTAAAGAACAAATCAAAAGATTCTACAAAGGAAAATAATTGCAACAATAAATTGAAGATATGTCTTGGCTATTACATTTTTTTTTATTAAAAAGAATTTATTTTTTTTATTTATGTGAATCGAAAATTTAAAACACTATTATAAAAAAAATTATTCTTACCAAAGGTGTTTCATAATCTTTTATTGAAAGCATTAAATATTTGAGGGGTAAAACTTTCATTTGTGCACACTTAATTTTTGATAAAAAGATATATTCCAATTTTACTTATATCATTTTTAGAAAAAAAAAGAAAAAAGAAAATAATTAAATAGCAAATCAAAAGATTTTACAAAGGGAAACAAAAGAAAATAGTAAAAAATTGAAGGACCTGAGTAAACAATTCAAACCAGAGCAGAAAAAAGGAAATTATATTATAAAAAAAGAAACATTGGTCCCCAAATTTCTGAGAATCCTTCATCTCTCTCCCATTTCCCTTACTTTCTCCATTGCACTCACTTTCCTCTCTTTGTCTCTCTCCCTGTAACCCCTAAGCGCAAGTAACTGACATCTCTGCTAAACCCTTTTCATGTTTTTTCCTCCTTCAATCCCTTTTCAAGTATAATTTCAAGAAACTTCAAGAATCTTGAAGAATATTTAAAGAAGATGGAGGAACATGGGGTATCAAGCAATGTAGCTCGTGCTATAGTGGCTGCCCTTGATTGGAACTCTTCTCCTGATGACCGTAAAGCCGCGTATGCCTATTTAGAATCCGTAAGCATCAGATAGCTGATATATCTTTTTTTTTCCTTTTCAAGAACCCACTTTGTTATATTTATAATTCTTGAAAAAGTAGGAAGGAACAAAGTAATGGGTTTGTTTTTATTTTTTGCGCCTTCTTGA